TTAGAGACAGATTCTAGAGAAAGCTGCCTATACACTTTCTTCTAGGTCTACATAGTTTCATTCTCTGTTTTCTTGGGCATATCTAACAATAATGTTGATCCTCTAACCTCTCACCTCATATGGACTCTTGTATTCACATTGGGCATCACTTGGAAATTCAGAAAAATCTCATCTCAGAATGCTTACTATAACTAGTCCTAAAAAGTCCCTTTTATCATGCAAAGGATATATTACTTATTTTGGAGATTAGACACGGACATCTGAGACATGGATGGTTAGTTCACACTACCACAAGTGTGAACTCACACAGTACTTCATATTTAATAAATTCCCAATCTTCTAATCTTCCTTTTGTATTTCTCATCTCAATGTACCCTGTCTCAGTGAACAAGCTAACATTGTAGAATAACTCCCAACATGGATTTATTTTAAATTCCACTAACCACTGCCTTTTTGAGTATTTAGATATCTTTGATTTTTTCATTATCATGGTAATTGCCACATTAGGACCTCTGTAATCATCTCCCAATGTATTTCCCTATGTCCAAGACTTACCTACATGCCCGACCCATTCTTCAAATGGTAACCAGAGTGCTCATTTTAAATGCAAATCTAATTATCACTCTACTAAGCTTCTATATATCAAGCTTCTGTACAACCCTGCTTAATTCTCCAGATTAGTTATTTTTGTTTGTTTGGGGACCACACATACCAATTGTGCTCAGGGTTTACTTCTGGCTATGTGCTCAAGATTCTAGGACTCTATGTGGTACTGGGTATAGAACCTGGGTAGACCAGGTTCAAAGCATGCACTTTACGTACTGTACAATCTTTCCTGAGTCAGTCTAACTCTTCTTGTTTTTGTTTTGGGGTCACATCTAGTAGTACTCAGGGCTTACTCTAGGCTCTGCACTCAGGGATCACCTCTGGCTGGGTTTTGGAGAACATATTAGGTGCTGGAAATAGAACCTGGGTCAGACATATGTAAGACACCCTCTCAGCTGTTCTATCCCCCTGATCTAAACTAGTTTGATCTTAAACCAGTCCTTCTTTTACCATTGCGATGTAGCCTTCCTGGAATACATCTAGTGCCAATTTAACTACAATGTTTTTCTGTTTGCTATCCTCTATCTGAAACATTTTTCTTCCTTTTGCCACTTGACTAATTCTTATTCTTCATCTTAAAAGCTGTATTTTAAAGGATATTATATTTGAAATCCTATGCTAGGGGCTATGGTACAGGGATTAAGGCATTTGCTTTGCAAAGTTGTCAAGATAGGTTAAAACATGGCAAGAGTAAAACTTGAGCACCTCCCTCAACAACAATATCAATAACAACAACAACGACTTTGAGAAATCATACAAAATTTTGGTATCTTTCTATGATAATATCTATTCATAGTTCTGTGAGATTTTTCTTTTGTTTTGTTTTTGGGCCACATCTGATGGTGCTCAGAGATCACTCCTGGTGGTGCTCAGGGGGCAATATCTAGGGCTGCGTTGGTTGCATGCAAGGAAAATGCTTTAAACTCTGTCTTATCCCTCAGCCCACTCTGAGCTTTTTCTGTAAACACTCATCATAACTCTGTTTATAGTTATTATACCTTTAATTAGTAGAAAATCTTAGAACAATTTTATATTTACAGAAAAAAAATGAGCAAACGGTAGAGCTATTGCGCATGCCACTTTCTCTGGCATCTTGTATTAATGCAGTGAGCCATAAAGTCAATAAATAAGTATCAGTACATCCTTATCAAATAAAGCTCACAGCCTACATAATGGTTCACACTTAATGTTATGCTACATGTTTTATTTTATTACCATTTATTTTATGCTGGGAAAATAGCCCAAGGGCTGGAGTGCCTATTTAGCATGTGGGAGCTCTGAGTTTGATCCCTGGCATTGCATGGTCCCTCAGGAACTGCAGAAGTGCTTTCCCACCCACACAAACATATTATTTGACACAAACTTGGTGTTCTATAATTCAATTCTTTTAGTATAAGGTAGTTTTAGATGCCATAAGCTAAAGAAAAAGATAACTAATGAAACCAACTCATTTCACATAGGAGTCGCAATTGGGGTCCAATTGATATCTTTTTTGTTCAGCGTGGTTCCAATATCAGTGTTTCCAACAGTTCCCCTCAAGGTACATGCTCAGAGAGAATGCCTCACAGAAATCACAGAAAGTACTACACTTGTGACCGCAGTTTTATCATAAGAGCAAGATTTGGAAGATATTTAAGTAGAGGAAGTCTCTGTCCTTCTGGAGTTGGGGATGCTCACTGTCCATATACACGAATGCATTCACCAACAAGAAAGCACCACTGGGTTTTAGTGTTGAGTTTTTATTTGGCTTTTCATTATATGGGTAAGATTGATTAAATTACCCTGTGCAAGAATGACACCTCAAATATCCTCTTCCCCCCAAAGATTTGAGAGTAGGGGTGAAATTTCTAACCCTCTAATTCTGATGCTTTTTTTTTAGGTGACTACCATAATGAAACTATGTATTTGGAGCCTCTCTTTCTCCCATTTGAACTGAAACTATGAATGACCAGTATCACAGCAAGGACACACCTGTTTATAACTCATAAAACTCCAAGAATATATGAAGGTCCTGTTTATGTTTTATTATACAACATACTGTCCTGTGGCATTGGACAAATGCATGATGTTGTAAGTCTATTATTACAATAGCACTGTAGCACTGTCCTCATCAATTTGCTTGAGAGGGCACCAATAACGTTTCCATTGTGAGACTTCTTTTTACTGTTTTTAGCATATTGAATATGCCAGAGGTAGCTTTCTAAGCTCTGCCTTGAGGGCGGGATACTCTCTGTAACTTGCCAGGCTTTCCTAGAGGGGCAGAGGAATGGAACCCAGGTTGGTCGCGTGCAAGGCAAACGCCCTACCTGCTGTGCTACAATATCACACAGAATAGTTTCCTCATCTTATTAGGAAAATTCCCTGTATGTCACTTAATTATCCTCTATATTCCCCAAGCCCCCGACAACCACTGATCTTTTCTACTATAATTTAATTTTTATCCAGAATGTCATATAAGAGTCACATAGTGTGCACTGACCTTTTACTTTTTTTTAAATTCTAAATTAAAAATTATTTTTGGGTTTTCCAAAGTGGTGTTCAGAAAGCCTGAGGGATCACAAAGTTGAACTCGATTAAGTGCAGTGGCACAGTGGGGTAGTGCCCAGGGATTATCCTAGTTAAACCCTCTCCCCCCACCTCCACCCCGGTGTCGCTGAGGGAGGGCACTCCAGGATTATGTGGGCCAGCTTGGGGGACCATGTGGTGCTTGAATGGAGCTGGGCGTCTATCTCCCAGCCCCTAAACTATTTTTTTAAGAGTGAATTCTTTCTCAAATCAACATTTAAAGTTCCCTATTGTCCTTTCAGAGTTTGATAGCTCATTTCTTTTTATTACTGAACACAATTTCATTGTGTGGAAGTACAAAAAAAATTAGCAAATTTCAGCCATGGTCTATGAAAATGTTAGTGCAGCTTGCAGGTGTAGAGAAGCTGAAACATTGCTTTATAGTATCCCACGTTAACTATAGTATTCTATGGTAAACTTAAACGTATTATGCCTTCGTCCTATTGTGTGCTAATAGGGATGTAGTATCTGTGATGTAGGGTGCTAGAAAGACAAAAAAAATATCTACATCAAGTTCTTACAACATCATATGAAACACAATTAGTCCTCAAAAATTTTGACATTAGGACATATATGATAGCACAACAGGCAGGGCATTTGCTTTGCACAAGTCCGACTCGGGTTCGATTCCTCCGTCCCTCTCTGAGATCCTGGAAAGCTACCAAGAGAATCCCACCCCCATGGCAAGCTCCTGAGGGTGGATTCGGTATGTCAAAAAGAGTAACAAGTCTCATAATGGAGATGATACTGGTGCCCGTTCAAGCAAATTGATGAACGGGAGGACAGTGCTACAGTGCAGTGCTACTATTTTTTTTTTTTATATTTTTATGAGTGAAGCACCATGAGGTACAGTTGTAGACTTACAAATTTTTGTGCTTGGGTTTCGATTATACAATGATCAAGTACCCATCCCTCCACCAGTGCCCATTTTCCACCACCATGGATAATATCCCCCCACCCCCATCCCCCCATTCCCCCTGCCTCTGTGGCAGGGCAATCCCCTGTGTTCTCTCTCTCCTTTTGGGTGTCATCGTCTGCAAAAGAGGCATTGAGTGGCAAACATGTTCAGTCCATACTCTACTTTCGACATGCATCTCCCCTCCTCGGAGGATCCTCCAAACACCCTTTATTTGGTGCTCACTTCTCTATCTGAGCTGCCCTTTCCCCTAGAATGCCCGGCTGACCTGGACGCCATGGAGTAATCCTCCTGGTACTGATCTTGGCTGTTCTTAGAAATTAATCTCCTATTTTGTTACTTTATGTCCCCCAGATGAATGCGATCTTTTTAAGTCTATCCCTCTCTTTCTGACTCATTTCTCTTAGTGCTACTATTTTTGTGTAGCATCACATATAAATGCCAAAAGCCAAGGGATAATTTATGATCAGAGATAGACATAGAGCAATAAACGGCAGCAAAAGGGCCACCAAGAGAACAGGAGTTGGAAAGTTTAAGTAGAGAGAATGTTTCTGAGCCTGCAGGTGGAGAAATTAAGGCACAGTCAGGACGAAGCAGGACCACAGGGGTGCAAGTGCTCAACTGGTCGAGGACTATTTTCAGGACAGATTCTGGGAACCCTTTGTCTAAGGAACAGGCATCCACTTCGGACAAGTGGAGGGATGAAGTGGGTGGCAATTGGCCCTCCGGCCGTCACAATCGGAAAGATGCGGAAGGGTGCGAACCTAGGCCAGTAGACCCTCCAAGGTCCCCCCACGCCTAAGTAGCGGGAAGGAAACCCAACCCGCCCCGCCCCACCCCCGCCGCCTCGTTTCCATGGGAACGCGGTCAGCTGACCGGGCGCCGCGCGCCTGCGCGGGCGGAAAGCGGGGGCGCCGTGACGCGCCGGGCGGGCGGGTCCTCGGGCGCGCGCCTGCTCGGGCCCGCGGCGCCTCGTCAGTCGGAGCGAGTGGCCCGAGGCAGCGGCTTCCTCGAGTGCAGTTCCTGCGGCCTAGGTGAGCACCCTCGGGGAGAGGCGGCAGGAGCGCTCCTGCCGGGTTCGGGAGCTGGCAGATGGGGGGCCCCTCGCGCGCGGCGCTCTTCCCTGCGCCCCCCCGCTGCTGCCCCGCCGCGTCCCGGGCGAAAGTTGGCGCGCGCGCCGCGCCCCTCCGCGCCGGCGACCCCAGGACCCCCCACCCCCACCATCCCCACCCCCACTCCACGCGGCTGGTGGGGGGATGCAGCGCGGCCGAGTGGGGAGACCTCGGCAGCCCCCGCCGTGGCCGTGTTGACTCGTCCAGGTCCCCGGGGGGTCCCGTCTCCAGGGACGCGGCCACGGGCGCGCTGGGGGCGGGCGGTCGCCGCCCGGGCTCGGGGGTCGCTGGGGACCAGGGAGGGGGTTGGCACCCGAGAGAGAGGGGCGCTCCGCAGCTTTCTTTCCACTTGGCGGAGGGCGGGCGGGGTCCCGGGAACTGGGGGGATTTCGCTGGAGAAGTTGCGGGAAAGGACGACAGTAAAGCGACACTTAGGTCGGAGGTGTTGGAGCCAGAAAACCCGCTGCAGCTGTCATGAGTCAGAGCTTTGGTACCAGGATATCCTGGTCCCTAAAGTGAAAGAAAAGGCAGATCGATCGGGGGAAAGTTCTCGGTTTCACCCACAGGGAATTATTATTATTATTATTATTATGATTATGATTATTATTATTTTACATGGAGTTTTTCCGTGGGCCGCATCTGGAAAGGCATTTCTAGGGCTGGCTTCTCCCCTGTACAGAGTAGAGTATCTGCTTATTCATTGAGTGCTACTTCTCCCTTGATGTAGTTCGTGGGGAAGAAAAGTAACGTTTGGTGGAGCGAATGCATCACGTCCACTTTATTCCTGGGCCCGGGGTGGGGCTGGGGTCAGTAGGTTTAGAAAGTAAAATTAATTGGAAACCCAGCGGTAACTTTGACTCAAATATCTGTGGTTAAGCGCGCATTTGTGGTCTCTGTCTCTGCCTCTCTCTCCTAAAGTGTTTCCCTCCTTATTTTCCCTTAGAACTGAGTTCTGAGTTCTATAAGGCTTTGTGCTTTAAATGGAACATAAATATTACAGTACAAATGGTTATGCCCACAGAATAAAAACACGGAAGTGGACTCAGTGTCTTACGTTCAGGAAATAGTTACTTCACTATAATCCAAATTTAACCTCAGCAACATTAATTTTTGGTTATGTTTGGCATTGTAGGAACGGATATAAAAAGTATGACCAAAAGAGGAATAATTTTTTAGTAGGTGACAGTTGAATGTATGATTCAACCAAATCAGTATCCTAAATTTAACATGACTTAACTATTGGGATTTTTTTTTTAAGGGTAAATAAATGCCGAAAGAGATTTTTCCCACACAACTTTAAAATTACCACTTCCATCTAATGTTAGTAATATTAACATTTATTAATTCATTTCCAAGTGCTTCCTACAGTTCAGTTTTCAAGGAGGCAAGTAATCACATGATGCAGTTTAACTAATAAAACCGTCTACAGTAGAAAGTCTCATTTCTCTATCCAACCATATTCCATTCTTTTTTATTTTGTTTGATAGCAGCCATCCTAATGGGTTTGAGGTGGAATCTTACAGTTTTGATTTGCATTTAACATAATTATTAGTTATGTTGAACATTTTTCACATTCTTATAGTTCCTTTTGGAGAAATATCCATGCAAAAGTTTTGCTTCTCCACCCCCCACCCCCTTTGAATGAACTTGTTTATGTTGCGTTTTAGGAGTCATACAAGTATCATGAAGATTTATCCCAGTTGGATATGTGCAGATATTTTCTCCTATTTCATGGTTGTATTTTAACTGTGAATGCTATCTTTTGGCCTACAGAGTTTTAAAATTTTTATTAAATTCAAATATATGTTTTTTTTCCTTTTTTACCTTTGTTACCTGTGCCATTAATGTCAAATCATTGCTAAATTCAGTGTCCTGAATTTATTTTAGGTCATGTGCTTGGATCCTTTATCGGTTTTGAGTCCTTTTGTTACATTCTGTTAAAGATTGACCTTCATTCTCATTCTTTTGCACATGTATATCCAGTTTTTCCTAGCAGCTTTTGTTGAGAAAACTTTTCTATTTTTCTAGAAAAATAGGAAAATCTAAATACAACATTAAAGAAATACATATCACATAAACAAAAAGAACAAAAGTATCAAATCATTGAATGTTTTTGGCTTGCCCTTGTCAAAAGTCTTTAGATGATTGCATGCAAGAATTTCTTACTATGCTCTGTTCTATTTCATTTCTTGCTTTGTGATTTCAGGAAATCTGAGTCTTCTAGTTTCTTTCTCAAGATTGATTTGGCAATATGGTGTCCCTTGAGAGGTCATGTGATTTTTTTCAGGATTCTTTTTTTTCTATTCTGGTAAAGGATCATTGATATTTTAATAGACTGCATTGCTTTGTTTTTGGTTATTGGGGCCACACCCTGCTGTACTCAGGGCTTACGCCTCTGCTCAGATCACTCCTGATGAGGCTTGGGGGACCATATGTGGTGTTGGGGATTGAACTTTGGGTCATTTGTGTACAAGGCAAGTGCACTACCTGCTGTGTTCTCTCTGGCTCCTAACTACTATTTTTGATTGTTAATAGTTTTCTGGTTGATTTGTGATACTTTTCTTCTTCTTTGGCTTATATGATATGTATTTCTTTAGTGTTATACTTAGATTTTTCTGTTTCTCTTTCGAGCAACTATTGGTTTTTATTTTGTGATTACCATGAATCTTACAGAAACAACTTTATTGTTATCTCTTTTAGGTTAGAGCGATAGCACAGCGGGTAGGGCGTTCGCCTTACAAGCGGCCAACATGGCCGACCCGAGGTTGATAACATATTCAAATATATTCTAAAGTACCACTTTTTTTTTCTCTTTGCTGTTTGCTTTTTGGGTCACACCTGGCGATGCACAGGAGTTACTCCTGGTTCATGCACTGCACTTAGGAATTACTCCTGGAGATGCCCTGGGGACCATATGGGATGCTGGAAATCGAACCTAGATCGGCTGCGTGCAAGGCAAATGCCCTACCCTTGTGCTATTGCTCCAGCCCCCTAAAGTACTACATTTTTAATCACCCCAAGTTTTATATCTTTTTGTGTGTGCATTAGCTACATATAGCTATTATTACTACTTTTGTTTCTTAACCTTCATACCAGCTCTATGAAAGATTAGTCATAACATACATGTTATATTATTTTGAATTTTGCTGTATATTCTTCTTTACCAACAAGGTACCTATTTTCCCAGGTTTTCATGCTAATTACTTGTGCCTTATTTCTACTTAAAAAAAGTGGTCCCTTGATTATATTTTGTAAAACTTCCTTTTTTTTGGGGGGGGGGGTCTGAAAACTATGTCTTATTCAGTCTTTCATTGTTGTTGCTTTTGAGTCACACCTGGCAATGCTCAGGGCTTAGTCCTGGCTCTGCACTCAGGAATTACTCCTGGAGGTGCTCAGGGAACCATATGGGATGCCAGGGATCGAACCTCTGTTGTCTGTGTGCAAGGCAAATGCCTTACCCGCTGTACTGTGACTCCAAACCTTTATTCAGTTCTCAAGGACAACTTTGGTGGGTTAACTTCTTTTGGGTAGTCGTTTTCTCTTTCAGTACTGAAAAAATACGCTATTCTAGTCTGTAAAATTTCCTCAGGACATTCTTCTATATCTTACGTAGGGGTTCTTTTCTTTTACTGCTTTTAGAATGTGACCTTCAGTGAATTATTAGTGTCTTGGTAGGGATCTATTTGTGGTGATCTTTTGTGGAACTTCTTCAGCTTCCTTCCGTACATTAAGGAAATCTTAAGCCCCGGTATGCAATTTTCTGTCTCTTTTTCTCCTTGGAACTATAATGAGATTGTTGTTCTATTTGTTGGTGTCCTATTGGTCATTTAGGTTGTGTTCTTTCTTTTACCCTTTATTTTTGCTACTTTGTTAAGAGTTAGACTGCTCTGCTTTGAATTCAGTGATAATTTTCTCCTGCTTCATCTGGTCAGCTGTTGGATCCCTGCTGGTGTTTTTCAGGCTTTTCAGCTGTTAATATGTATTTGCCTTTATTACAATTCTGCTGAACTTTCTGAAAATCTTCATAATCTTTATTCTAAATTTCTTATCAATAGCACAGCAGGTAGGGCCTTACACGCGGCCAACATGGCCGACCCAAGTTCTATTCCTCCGCCCCTCTCGGAGAGCCCGGCAAGCTACTGAGAGTATTCGATATGCCAGACACAGTAACAACAAAGTCTCCAATGGAGATGTTACTGGGCCCGCTCCAGCAAATCGACGATCAATGGGAGGGCCTTTACTTTTACTCTTATCAATATAACCATTTACATTTAAGTAAGGTATTTTTATTTTCCTTCCCCCCACTCCTCACCCCGTACCCCTTTTAGAACATTAGCCTTGATTCTGTCTTGGTTAGAGTCTATGATTAGGCAAAATCCTCAACTTTCCTTGAAGTCACAGTCTCTGTAAGAGCTTTATTCCATTTTTCAACCCTGTTACATATCTTGGTTATCTTGCAACCCTTTGAAATTGACCCAGCAGCATTTCTAGTGGCCCCCAGAAGTTGAGTTTGTGCCAAGACCTGTGTCTCATATGGAGGGTTCTCTTTCATTCTGATTCTCCCTAGAGCTTCAGAGCAAGTTTTAAAGTCGTGCAAATTCTTCTCTCAGAGGGAGGCTAGGAAGAGGGATGTTTCTGTCTGCTCTGCTAGACTAAACCCTGCATTGATGCCTAGTTAAGGACTGTTTCTATGCTGTTTGCGGTCGCACCTGTAAACACTGGCCCCACTGTCCTCGGTCGCACCTGTAAACACCAGCTCCGCTGTCCTGCAGAGCCGGCCTCTCCAGCAGTGTCCCCTTCGAACAGTAGCCATAAATGTCTGGACATGGGGACCAATTTTTTCCTTAGAGATAGGCAGTGTGTACAGTTTGCCGCCCACCTGAGAGACTGGGGAGCCCCCCTCCACCAAGTTTCTCAGTCTTCTGTCTGTCCACTGAGCCCTGAAGGTGTGGCAGTTAAGAACTGCATGTCCCATCATTACAGTCTGAAAGGACCTGTGTGCATTAGGCCTCACTGGCCTCTAGCCGGGTAAGCTAGAGGCGTCTGTAAGGTAATTGCTGCAAATCTGGGAGCACTGAGTATTTTTCCAAAACTCATATCATCCTAAGGTGTTTTTTGAACAACTCAAAGTTAAAGAAAAAAAATGTGTATTTATTTTTCTATTAACCCTGCCCCTTTATTAATGTTACTGTCCTAACCATGTTGTACACAAGCCTGGCTGTGGAACTTGCATCGTTTCCTAGCTGTGGTGCATATAGGGGGTTGCACTTCAGGTTTGATGCTTGCACATAGCCGCAGTACTCACCTTGTTTCAATGGAAGTGATCACCCGTTGTTCTTCAGGGATACTAGTATGGTAAGAGAAGGTAGGTATTAGGTCAGCAATGTAGTGATTGCCATTCCTGGTGATATTATCAAAATATATGGTTGTAGGTTTCCTTCATCACAGTAACAGAAAGCAAAATAAGGAGCTATTCTTGGATATCAAATATAGTCTTTAAACTACTGAGATTTTGTGTCTGGACACTTGCATTAAAGAGTCTTAAGAATTTACCTGGATATTGCCTGGAAGAGAGAAAAGAAGTATTAACTGGAACACTTAATACTGAGGCAGATGGTTGTTTTATATTAAAAATCTTCAAATAATCCAAAGAAACTCTGAAACTACTCATTCTAGAGCACTGAGAATCTTAGTAGAAATTTAAATTTAAATTTAATTTCATTTGGGACTGTTTCCTAAGGGTTAGCAGTGTTTTGGGTGCAAAAGCTACCCTTTGAAATTAAGGCCTTTCGTAAAGCATGGAGAGAGTTGAGGCAGTTGCACAGCACAGAGTGGCCTGAAGCAGGCTCACAGGTATTGCCCCTACAGGATCTAAAGAGGGGGGAAACGACAGAGCAGGGAGTGAGGCCACAAGAGAGTTACCTAACTCCTGCATTGCCCAATGGGATGCGACTTAGTGAAGTGAGTGTCAAGGAGGTCTGGGCACAGGTGCTTCCTACACTGCTTGGGCTGTAAAATCCTGCAGCCTCACCAAGACAGCCATCAAGCTGAGATCCCCTTGATCTGTGCAGCATGGAGCTGTTTCCTATCACTTGAATTTTAGGGAAGTTGTGGTTCTCAGGATGAGATGCGGCTATGCTCTTTACAGGAAGTCAGTCCTGGGTTCCACCCACTTTTTCTAGCTTTGTTGTTTGTCTCTCAGACGGTTTCGTGAGATATATCGTCAAATAAAGTTGTTTGATTTTGGAAATCTGAGAGAGCAGCAGAGGTCTTTAGCCACTGGTCCATGGACCAGTGTTGATTTAGTGCTGAAAGTTTGAAAACCACTGGTCCACAGTTATAACAGCAGTTATAGCTGTTGTTTCATGGACCAGTCTACTGGACAGAATACAGGTGTAAACAGATTGGAAAACACTACTCCAAAGGAAAGGAAGGGGCTGGAGCAATAGTGCAGTGGGTAGAGCATTTGCCTTGCATGTGGTGGCTGACCCGGGTTCGATTCCCAGCATCCCATATGGTCCCCTGAGCACCGCCAGGAGTAATTCCTGAGTGCATGAGCCAGGAGTAATCTCTGTATTGCTGGGTGTGACCCAAAAAGCAGAAGCAAAACAAAACAAAAACAAAGGAAAGGAAGAAGGAACTCTCTGAACTAGGGTGAGAGCAACCCCAGAATGGAGTGAATTGAGTTCCGTTGTATTCCAGAGGCCTTTTCCATGCTTTCTGAGTGGTGCTCTCTGTGGAGGGAAGAGTCTACTGCAAGAGTATTGTTGCAGATCCAGAACTCTGCTAGTCCCCTGTTTTCCGTCTTCTAGGGACTTTCATTCCTGTTGTCTACTAAAGCAGCTTTTGGGTTTGGGCTGGTGTTATAAGGTAAACCTCAGCCTGGTCTTAAATCCAGAGTCTCAGATTGATCTTAACTCTGGATTGTGGCAGAATAAGTTCATCAGATTTTTCTTGGCTTTGTGGCTTCCAGAAATTGGTGATTGCACAACTCTCTCAATGTACCGAAGTCTGTCAGTTTACATGCTATAAAAAAAGAGTTTCATAATACATAAAGGTTTATCAGTTACAGAATCGTTATAATTCAGCATTCAACCAAGACACAGAAAGAAACAATGGAGGTTTAGCATCCAGAATTATCTAAAACATGATTGAAGAAATAGGCATCATCAGTTAGTAAAATGGAAGAATAAGACCAGTCAGATGCTGCAGTGGTAGAGCACTTGCCCTATATGTGTAAGGCCATGGATTCAGACATTACAAATAAATAAATAAATAAAGAGAACACGAAACATTTTTTTTTGGTCTAAATTTCTAAAATGGTGGGACTTTTACCATAAAGGAAGTTTAAAATCTGCAGTAGCTACAGTTGTAGAATGGTAGGAAGCGGGAGTGGTTGTTTCATAACTCTTAATCAGTTAACAAATTTTGGAATAGCCTGGAGGTTAGCATTTTTTCCTGTATTTTGCAATTGAAATGTTTCTTACTGTGTTAATCATTCATACATGTTTATGTGTATGTTGCTGTATATAGTATTTTTGAGAGGAATTTGAATCAAAGAAATTCAATTTTGTTTTCTTTAGAAAAACCCTGCAAAAATGTCTCTGTACCCATCTCTTGAAGATTTGAAGGTAGACAAAGTAATTCAGGTATGTTTAAGTTGTTTAAGTACTTTTTGTTTATCATATTCTAATTATAGGTGAAGTGAAGCAAGAAACTTAAAGGCAATGTATTTGTTTATTTTTTTAAACTAATAAACATTTTTTCAGTTTATTCATTGCAGTGCAACAAGTGACTGACAAGTTGTTGATTCTTTTTCATTTCTGTTTCATTTCATTTCATTTCATTTTCTTTATGAAAATGTTTCATAATCTTGGGATATCAATTCTTTGAAATAGGATAAGTCATGCTGTTTAAAAGTAGCTGATTGTGTTGCTAAAATATAAATATAATTTATTTACATTGGTACAATACGTTTCAACTTTTCAGCCATTTGAAGTTATTTAAAATTGGAAAATTAGGGCTGGAGAGATAGCACAGTGGTAGGGCGTTTGCCTTGCACGTGGCTGACCTGGGTTCAGTTCCCAGCATCCCATATGGTTCCCTGAGCACCGCCAGGAGTGACTCCTGAGTGCAGAACCAGGAGTGACCCCTGTGCATTGCCAGGTGTGACCCAAAAAGAAAAAAAATGAAAAATTATTTGGTATCCTTAGGTATAACCAATTTTTTTTAAAAAATTGGGATCTGCTAGAGTTCTTCCTGGCACTGCCCCTTGGTGAGTAGAGTTCTCAGGGCCCGTGGGAACGCCCCAGGTCCCATCTACTCTGGGAACCAGGCTGTTGCTGGTGAAATCTGACATTTTCAAAGAACAGCATAGATTAATTGACCTTATTATTGCTGGCGGCTGATGGGTTCAGATGTGGAAAGCAGACATCTTTGGATGTTAGCAGTACTTAAACGTTGCCCTTATAATTTGGAACTTCAAGGACAGTGCTCCAGCAGCTTCTTCTTAACTCCTTCCTCCCTCTTACATACACCCTGTTCACTAGTGTAGGGACACTCCTTCGGCCTTTATTTTCACCATTGTCTCTCCTAATAAACTTTTATCATATGACTACATGTCTTATGGTTCATGTGGGCGGCTTTGCTCTGGTCGTGCTGCAAATGTGAATCTTTGAGCATCCACTGCTCTAGGTTCGAGGAGTCGTCTTCACATTTTTGGGATATCAGTAGCTGCAAAATAGCTGCAGGGATCCTTAGGTATAACCAGTTTTAGAAATTATTCCTTGTCCATTCTTTAAGATTAACAGAAGTAGTGGAAGACCTTTAATAGAGAAGTTGTGTAAAAGCAAAATGAAACTGCAGTGATTCATTTTCTCTATGATATAAGCAGCAGATAGGCAGATATTTTACTTGTTCATTCTCTGATCATATCAGAGTTTACATGAATTCTCATTCTCTGATCGTGTCAGAGTTTACATTAATTCTAATTGCAACTCAGTGTTGTTTTTTTTTTTTTTTTAGTTCTCCATGCTATGTATTTGCTTTAAATACAAAAGCTTCTGCTTTCTAAAGAAAGCTTAGGGTTCAGGAAGTTTGTGGTTGTAGCTACTTTGTAAATTGTTACTCTTTTTCACTGGAGATAACTTGTCATATTTAATGATCAATCTGTTCACAGTTTGCTTTCAGTACACATACACACACAGTGACACACACACATATATTCAAAATCTCTTCAGATACTGTAATTTGTAAGAGTGACTGTGCTACTTCCTTAGTCCCCAAATCTTTTCAATATAGTGCATGTGATGAAATTGTTTCTGAGTTTATTTAGGGCTAGGATCACACTGGGTGGTCCTCAGCTATTCCTGATTCTGCTCAGGAGTGATCCCTGGCAGTGCTTGGGGGCCATATGCAGTGCCAGGGGTTGAATTCATGTGAGCTGCATATAAGGCAAGTGCTGTTACCGCTTGTACTATCTCTTTGGCCTCTTCAGAGCTTTAATGTTAAAAATAGTGTCCTTTAGGTCTTGACCTGTTTACTTTGAGATTTACTTCTGTAAGAGCACAAAGTTTATGAGCAGGAGTAGTTCCTGAGCTCTGCTGGGTGTGATCCAAGAGACAAACAGAAGTATAACAAAATTAGAAGAAATTTTATGGAACTTCACAAATGAAAATATTTTCAATAATGAAATGTTGACTCCTTTTAGCTTAAAAAATGGTAACGATAAAAAAAAGTGTGCGGATATAATTATTAGCTGTGTTAGATGGTTTGGGTGAAAATAGTGATGATTTGGAGCATGTATTTTTCATCTACTGTGGGTATTAAAATGTGGTTTGTACGTCTCCAAAATCTACTGTTCAGCTGCCAAGGCTTTGAAGTCTCACAGTCTAAGTGGCCTGTTCAGTCATCTGAAAAGCTCTATCACTTCTTTCTTTGGTAGTTTTCTCCTGTGGTTTTCATTTCCCTAGAATTCAACTGAATAGCATACTTCTTTTAAAAAATGCTTTTTTTTTTTTTTTATCAGAAATAGCCTTTAAGAACAAAAAAGGAAAGGGGCAGAGAGGCAGTTCAAATGGGCCAGTGTGCATACTCTGCACGCACTAATCCAGGCCCAATCTCTGGCACTGCAGAGCCCCTGAGCACGGCCAGGAGCAACTTCCGTGCAACAGGCCTGAGGGACCCCTGATCACTGGTAGTTGTGGCCCAAAAACACACACAAAAGACCCAAATTTGAGCATTTAAGATGGCATCAGAACGCCAATATTTTTTTTTTAAAAGCCCTGTCTCTGTAAAGTAATAAACTTTTCATCAGTGGAACATGCCATACCCTCATACTTGAGCATGACTGAAGTCATAAGGATATAGCTTGTCAAAGTGATTTTGGCAAGATTGTTGAACAGAAATTACATTAGCATCATTTTTTTTATGTTGATAATTAAGTATGGTATTGTGTAGTTTGTTGCATTTTTATGTTTATGTAAATTCTAACTGTATACCGCCTAAAATGACAGCTTAAGTGGGATATAATAAAACAAGTAAAATAAATATCAGCAACTTGTGTAAACTTTTAGATATTTTTGTTAGTTACTGGTATGTGGTTTTTTCCTCTGTTGTTGAACTTTTTTTCTATTCAGCTAAAGTACTTTTTGCTTAGGCTAATTAGCAAAATAATAATGAAAATATAAAATGTAAAGTTCATGTTATAGTACATTGTCATTGAAAATATTAATTTGTTATAATACTATAAAATATTGCTTACTATATATGTAGAATGATGCAGTGAAGTATTAGAAAGTATCTTTAGAATATGTGATGTTTTTGATTTACTGATTTCCTTTGAAGTGTTTGAAGATAAACTGTTCTTGAGTAGTTTCGGTATCTTAGTTTCTAAGAGTGCTGAACTTATAGATCTTATTGTCATTAGAACTTTCTTGGCTTTTTCAGGCTCAAGCTGCTTTTTCTGCAAACCCTGCCAACCCAGCTATTTTATCTGAAGCTTCTGCTCCCATTGCTCATGATGCAAGTAGGTATACTATTAGGCTTCATACTAGAGTAGAAATGTTTGTTAAACCTTATTTGATGAACTGGAGAATCCAGTTTGAGTCTACAGAACAAAATTGACTGCTAATGCACTGTGGCAAGGACAGAAAATGTTACATCAAAAAATTAATAAATCTTTAACGAAGAAAATGAATGCTGGAACTGGAGAGGAGGCACAGCAGGCAGCTTGCCTTGCACGTGGCCAGCCTGGTCTCAGTCCTCAGCGCCGCTGATGGTCCCAGGAGCTCTGCTAGGAGTGATCCCTGAGTGTAGTACCAATAGTAAGCCCTGAGCACCACTGGATTTGGCCCCAAACCCAAAACAAAAAGAAAAGCAAATGCATTTTAAGTATGTGAAGATAAATATTACTTTCTTGGAAATGTGAATGAAATCATAACTCTCATAAGTCCCTGACTTATGACTGATTTATATTTGGAAAATAAAATCGTAAGTGAACTCTACTCCATACTATTGTTGATGAGTTTATGGCATCTTCTGACTGGGGCAGGAAGAATGGGTGAGGCATTGGAGTTGCCTGCCATCACTTTTTGGTGGGTAGCTTATCAAATCCTGGCCTTTATATCCAGTCTTCCTAGCCTTTTATTCTTGTTTTCTAGGTTCAGAGGAATTTAGCCTTGGTTCCCTAACATAACAAAATATAATAGGTTACTGTGACATGTCGTATTTACTCCGACTCCCAGCTCAGTGCTTTGGGGTTGCTCCCTTAGGGGCTTAGGCAACTATGCAGTGCCATGGATCAAACACTGACCTACAAATAAGTGCTCCAGTCCACAGAACTATCTCTTTAGCCTGATAGTATTTTTTATATAAATCACAAATAGGCCATGCAATAAGGAGCTTTTAGAAGTATGGCCCAGGGCCAGAGCAATAGTACAGCAGATAGGGTGCTTGCCTTGCACGTGGCTGACAGGGTTTGATGTCCGGCATCCCATAGGGTGCTTTGAGCACCATCAAGAGTAATTCCTGAGTGCAGAAGTCAGAGCCAGGAGTAACCCTTGAGCACTGCTGGGTGTGACCCAAACCTCTCCCACTTGATCCCAGGAAAGAAATAGTGCCCAACTCTTCCAAATACTGTTGATTGATACTTCAGTAACATGTTTAATTTCATATGCTGTTTCTCTAGTTTTATTGGAGTGAGGCTAACATTCTTTTTTTTTTTTTTTTTGCTTTTTGCTTTTTGCTTTCTGGGTCACACCCAGCGATGCACAGGAGTTACTCCTGGTTCATGCACTCAGGAATTACTCCTGGCGGTGCTCGGGGTACCATACGGGTTGCTGGGAATCGAACTTAGGTCGGCTGCGTACAAGGCCAATACCCTACCTGCCTGTGCTATTGCTCCAGTCTGAGGCTAACATTCTTTTTTTTTTTTTTTACATTTCAGTTTTTTTTTTTTGAGACATCATGAGGTACAGTTGCAGACTTAAAATTTTTGTGCTTGGGTTTCAATTATACAATGATCAAATACCCATCCTTCTACCAGTGCCCATTTCCCACCACCACGGATCCCAGTATCCCTCCCACCCCCTATCCCCCCCATCCCACCCTGCCTCTGTGGCAGGGCATTCCCTTTTATTCTCTCTCTCTTATTGGGTGTTGTGGTTTGCAGAAGAGGCAATGGGTGACACTCATGTTTGGTCTATAGTCTACTTTCAGCATGCTTCTTCCATCCTGGGAGGATCCTCCCAACACCTTTATTTGATGTTCCCTTCTCTATCTGAGCTCCCTTTTCCCTTAGCATGTGTGGTTGGCCTCCAAGCCATGGAGTAAAATTCCTGGTACTAATCTCGGCCATTCTTGGGTGTTAGTCTCCTATTTTGTTACTTTATGTTCCCCAGACGAATGCAATCTTTCTATGTCTATCCCTTTCTTTCTGAGTCATTTCGCTTAACATGATACTTTCCATGTAGTACCACTTGTATGTAAATTTTATGACTTCGTCTTTTCTAACAGCTACATAGTACTCCATTGTGTAAATGTACCAAAGTTTCTTTAACCAGTCATCTGTTCCTGGGCACTCAGGTTTTTTCCAGATTCTGGCTATTGTAAAGAGTGCTACAATGAACAAACAATTGCAGATGTCACTTCGACTATACTTTTTTTCCTCTCTGGGATGTATTCCCAGGAGTGGTATTGCTGGATCAAATGTGAGCTCAATTGCTAATTTTTTGAGAATTGTCCATACTGTTTTCCAAAAGGGCTGAACCAGTCGGCATTCCCACCAACAGTGAAGGAGTGTCCCTTTCTCGCCACATCCGCGCTAGCACCGGTTGCTTTTGTTCTTGTGGATATGGGCCAGTCTCTGTGTTGTGAAATGATATCTCATTGTGGTTTCAATCTGCATCTCCCTGATGATTAATGATGTGGAGCATTTTCTCATGTGAGAGGCTAACATTCTTAAAAATGATTGTGAACCTCGAAAAATCTACATGGTTTGCTTTTTCTTTTTGTTTTCTTTCTTTTTTTTTTTTAGAGAAATCATAGCCATGTAAATGAGTTACAAAGTAATTGGTTTAGTAAAAACTGTTTTAACAGTTTTTCTGACAGTCTTAGAAAATTGTTTATTCCTTGCTTTTATGAAGAAAAAGCAAGAAAACTCATTAAACAATTCTTTCTTGGGTATTTAGAAATATTGAGCTCTTTCTATTATAAGTACTTTTATACTGTATGATCTTGTTACTACTACAGAGATGCTTTTCCAGAATTGCTATTTTATCAACTTAAGTGGAAGCTGATAATGACAGATTTTATTTTCAGTATTCTACTGTGTTATTTTCCTTTCTTAATCCATTCATTCATTTTTATTAGGTCTTTATCCTAAATTGTATCCGGAACTCTCTCAGTACATGGGTCTGAGTTTAAATGAGGAAGAAATACGTGCAAATATGGCTGTAGTTCCTGGGGCACCAATGCAGGGGGTAGGTATAATTTGTTTTCTCAATATATGAATCATATTTTATACATAAATAAGAGCTTTGCTCTTTGTGACTAACTTACAGATTTATAACCTTATCAGAAACTTTAGACTTCATTCTGGATATCACCTCTTAAGTAATCTTATTTCCTTTTGCACAGCTTCCACTTTTCTGACAGATAACTTTAATTAGTTCTTTCTTTTTTGGTGGGGGGATTTTTGGGCCACACTTGGTGGTGCTCAGGGGTAACTCCTGGCTCTGCACTCAGAAATCATTCCTGTTGGGCTTAGAGGACCGTTTGAGTATCAACCCAGGTCGACTGCATGCAAGGCAAGAGCCCTGCTTGCTATCCTATCACTCCAGCTCAATTCTCTTGTTCTATGGATTCTGTCTTTTCCATGTTCTTTGCATTTATTTCACCCATTTCTGTTTCACTCAGAGTAGCTGTATATCTAGCCTAGATTATTATGGTGGTCTCTACTTTTCTGGAGAACCTAGCCTAGATTATTATGGTGGTCTCTACTTCTCTGGAGAATCATTCTGAAGTATAGATCTGACATATTTTGTCTTGCTTATAATCTTTTAACATTCCAAAATCCAAAGCCTCTTAGAATTCAACACCAGATTGTCAGTTTTAATATAATGTGTCTGATGGTCTTTTTTCTTCAGTAGCTGGTCAAAGACAGTAGCACCTTTTTAGCACATCTAGTTAGTTAAATACACCAGGAAAAGGACCCATGTCTCATTTGTTGCCCTAACCCTAATGCTCAAAACAGTAACGGGCATTCATTTAGCAAACATTAAATGAAAAGTTGCATGTATCCAAACATATCGAGGACCCATTATCTGAGAGCAATCCACTTTCCTCTTTGCAATCTGAGTTAATTGCCTGAGCCAGTTCAGTAACCTCTTCTTTTCTTTGTTTTAGTAGCATGTGAAGTTAGGTGGTGATTTAATTCAGAAAACATTGTTGTGTTCTCATAATGGAGGATGCTTTTAAGTAACATCCTCCAGTCTGCACAATCAAATATGTGGGGATAAGATATACCAGGAATTAATATAAAGAATTGTTTTTTAAATTTTTGTTAGTGAAACACCATGGGGTACAGTTGTAGACTTACAAATTTTTGTGGCTTGGGTTTCAGTTATACAATCATCATGTACCCATCCCTCCAGCAGTGCCCATTTTTCACCACCACAGATCCCAGTATCCCTCCCACCCCCCCATAGAAATATTATTTTTTGCAGAAAAATACTTTATCTAAAACAAGTCATTGCAGATCATTTTGTGGGAAACCACATTTGGAGTATATACAAATGGTCACTTTAGATTTTTTTTTTTTAATGGAGAATGTTTCTAAATATTGACATACTATGTGTGTGTTTTTGTCAGCAGTTGGTAGCAAGACCTTCCAGTCTGAACTATATGGTGGCTCCTGTAACTGGTAATGATGTAGGAATTCGTAGAGCAGAAATTAAGCAAGGAATTCGTGAAGTCATTTTGTGTAAAGATCAAGATGGAAAAATTGGCCTCAGGCTTAAGTCAATAGATAATGTGAGTATGTATCTATTTGAATTTGTCTAGATGTCTTATTGTTGTCAATATTAAAATAATTTGAAATAGAAATGTTTTTATTATGGTGGTCATATTATTTTAATAATCATAGTTATTTAATAATCTAAAATAATTCCTGTTTATTTTATTTTCTCTTTTCTTTTTAATTGAATCATCATGAGATAGTTATTAAACTTTCATGATTGAGTTAGAGTCACAAAATGGTCGAACACTCATCCCTCCACCAGTGGGCATTTTCCACCACCAGTGTCTCCAGTATCCCTCCTAGCACCTCTAGCCCATCCCACCTGCCACCTTTTATTTCTGCTAACTTAACCTTATCTCCTCGGAGAAGTCCTTTTCTGAAGAGGCAGAGTTGGTAGTTCCAACATTTTATGGAAGACCATTTCCCCTTTCTGGACCCATCTTCCTGGAATAAATTTCACGGATTGCATATATCAGAATACTTTTTGTATGGTGATGGTCTGGCATTGAAATAGGGTAGCAAATAAAGAGGTGAGGAAAAAATGGGCCCATGAGAATCAGTGCTCTTATGTGTATTTTTAAGCCAACTCATTGTCATCTTTTTCCCTCAAGTTTTTTATTTGAGTTGCATGATTTACAGTACTGCTACTAATGTTGAACAACACTCTTTCGGGCATCCAGTGTTCCCAAAGCGCCCGTGCCACCTGAGTGTCAGTGTCCCTCCTCTGGTGCCTCTGGTCCTTTGCCACCCCCGGAGCAGGTTCAGTTCTCTAGGCTGACTCTCAAGGGGTATCATCATTGTCTTTTTTTTAATTCCTTTTCTATTTCTCTGCGTTCTACATATGGGACAGATCATTCTGTATTTGGCCCTCTGCCTCTGACTGACTTCACTCAGCAATGATGCCACCTAGTTCCACCCATGGAGCAGTAGATTGTAGGACTGCATCTGCCCTTAGAGCTGAGAAGTGTTCCACTGTGTATGTGTACCAGTTTCTTTATCCACTCATTTAATCTTGTTTTCAGTTCTTGACAGTTGTGCATAGCATTGCAGGGACAGCGCAAATATAGACCAAATGATGGTCATTTAACTTGCTGTGGCTTTGTAGGTTTATTGCCTCCATCCCTTCATTTGAATTTATTTATTTATTTATTTTTGATTTTCGGGTCATACCCGGCAATACGCAGGGGTTACTCCTGGCTCTGCACTCAGGAGTTACTCCTGGCGGTGCTCAGGGGACCATATGGGATGCTGGGAACCGAACCCGGGTCGACTGCGTGCAAGGCAAATGCCCTACCTGCTGTGCTATCTCTCCAGCCCCTCATTTGAATTTAATAGCTTGTTTTCTGAGTAAAAGTGATTTTTCTAATATGGGAAACCATGACTTTTAAAATTATTTCATCAGGCTGAGTATGTAGGCGAGTGGTAGAGCAAATGTTTCACACGCATGAGATCCTGGGTTCAGTTTCTGGCACCAAAACAAAACAAAACAAAACAAAAAACAGGTATAGGCATATATCTAAAAATACACATGTACATGCACACATACAAATGTATGTGTTTATTAATGTATAGCTACTTTACCTTTTACCATGCTGAAGGTAGGGTTGCTCTGGTGAGGAAGTATTTAGGATTAAATACTTATCTTTGTTCTGAATTATAGTTTTGCCTTAGTCGTTTCCTTTTTCAGTCTTAAGATTTATTAGCTTGTGTGTCCAGCATTTTCACACAGGAAATAATGAGTGTAGCACACTGTGGGAAATGGCCAAGGCTAGTCTTGGCACAAAATCTCAACACTGTCTTGCCTCTCCCGAGGTCTGAGTCTCTGCACACATCACCCATTCAAGACACGCGTGTGTCTTTGGGGAGGCCTGACCTCTACTATTCTTTCCTCTCCAGCAAACAGAGGATCTGCTTTCCCAGGATTTCTTCTCTGCTTCGTCCTTTGTCCTCAAGAGAAAGGACAGTCCTCACACTTCACAGCCTTTTCCTCACTGCAGTTATCTTTACAGAAGATTGGCCCACTTACTCAGAGCTCACTGGTCTGAGCATTTTATAGGCTGTGCCTGGTTTTCCATGTACCACCTTAAAGTGAAAGGCATATGGCAGAAATCAAGACTGGGACAGCTGGCGGTGCTAAAAGGGACCTCGGTCTACGGATGGCCTTTATATTTATCACACATTCTCCTATTTTGTTCATCATCATCCAAAATTGAATCTTTACAAGTAAAAATACGTTTGTGGGTTCAGCTCAAGTCAACCATACTTCTTGGATTCCTATATTATTTCACTGTGGATTCTTTGTAACAGTGGTCTTTAACCACTGCTGGTTACAATGTAGAAAGGTTGAAAACCACTGGGCCTACCACCATTATAACTGCTGATGGGCTGGTAATTAGGACAGTGTCCATGTGTAGGTGAAAAGCTTGAAGAAGGCTGCTATATAAGACCTGAAGTGATATTTAGAATGCCCATTTTTAAGGCTATTAAATCCCAATTTAGTATACATAATTTAACAAATGGGTTTATTACACCCATTTATAAGGCCATTAAGCTCCAGTTCATTTTAGTATACATAATTTAACAAATGAGTAAAAAAATATTTTGGCTGAAAAGCAGCATTATGACCTTAAGCTATCATTTCTAATCTGTTATGCCAGACAACTAATAACACTAATTGATGTGCTTTGCCCTATGTACATATCATGTTGCTAATAGATATATTCTATCAGATGCACAAGCTTATATTTATTAATTAGGCCTACTTTATTTTCTTTAGTCGTTCTATTAGATTAAGGGAATGATTGCGGTTTATTATGATTTTAGGTAGAAACTGCCTCCATGGAGTTTTGTTTGCCTTGTGTTTTAGGCATTTTGAGACTTCATAAAATTTCCAGTTTCTTTTTGAGGGTGACATCACATAGACTTGTGATTTCTCCCCCACCTCCTTTATTATAACATTTATTGCAAGAATTGTTTCCCTAAACAATTTCTAATTTTCCAGCATTTTAAACCATGCATAACAGTATTAAATGTCTATGTGTATTTTGTTACTCCTTTTAGGGTATATTTGTTCAGCTAGTCCAGGCAAATTCTCCAGCCTCATTGGTTGGTCTGAGATTTGGTGACCAAGTACTTCAGATTAATGGGGAAAACTGTGCAGGCTGGAACTCGGATAAAGCCCACAAGGTGCTCAAACAGGCTTTTGGAGAGAAGATAACTATGACTATTCGTGACAGGTAAGTTGTTCAGATCGAAGTATAGAAGACTAATTTTTCTTTTTTTTGGGGGGGGGGGTTTGGGGGAGAGGAGTTTATAGATTATGTGACTATAATGTTTTGCTGTAGAAAATGATACAAATGTTAGTGGTTAATTATATAATCTTACAGTTCTTTGGTATAAACTTTTCTTATACTTTTTTTTTTAAGTTAGTATTCTGGTTGAGCATATACTGATTACAAAATTACAGATTTCATCCTCTTTTTAATCCTTAATCCTCCATCCTCTTTTAATGTTTCTCTACAAGATTGTTTTAAAAAGGTATGTTGGAAAGATCAGTATGCAGGTTTTTTCTGCTCTGACTTTCGAGTTTACTTCTTAGCCATCAAGTCTAGGTTGTCCCGACAAGGGACCTGGCCCCCTGCAGAATGTCCAAGTGGTGTGTGAGTTCTAAGAACTAAATCTGGTCTTTGGTCATAAATCTCTAGTTGTCAGGGTGGGAGGATGGAACATTTTATTAAGCAATTCATTGTAATTTTACATGTGAAATATGAACCACTTTTTTTTGCCTCAGTCTTCATAAAGCTTTAAGGATGGAGTCACATCAAATTGTTCATATTTGGGGAGATACGTCCTGCTTTTGTCGATATCTAAAGAGAATTTCAAAAAGTAGTGTAACAACAGGAGATGAATAATCATGAAAACTAATCATGTAAATGTGAGTTTATAAAACTCGTGCAGAGGGGAGCAGGTATGCCTGGCATCACAATGTTTTTGAGTTGGTGGCCAGCGAGACTGATTGCCTTATGTCTTTTTTTCGAAGAGCTTTGAGGAACTCTCTTACTGCTTCTGCAGTGGTTTTAAAGTAGAGCAAAATTCCTGGTGGCCACCCCTCTCGCATGCCCCCAGCCTCGCCAAGAGCACCCTCAACTCAGCACCAGGCAGGCTTACACAGGGCAGAGCTTGGCTGGATCAGCCTTGGGCCAGCACCGCCAGGTGGATTTCTCTGTAAGGAAAAATACAGCAGAACTGTCCAATAAGATTTTCAAAAATCAAGACATGAAAAAATGAAGATTTTAAATAAAAGTACTTCCTGCAATAATTGAGCTCCAGGAAATATGATTCTTGTTGAAAGTGTATTTCATTCCTAATGCTAAATCACTGATAACTCTTCAAAGGAAATCTTTATTTTTTAAAAAATTTTGAGTCATCCCTAGCAGTGCTCTGGGAGTCTTTTATTTTTATTTATTTTATTTATTTTTTTTTTATTTTTATTTTTTTGTGAAACACCATGAGGTACAGTTGTAGATTTATAATTTTTTGTGCTTGGGTTTCGATTAGACAATGATCAGATACCCATCCCTCCACCAGTGCCCATTTTCCACCACCATGGATAATATCCCCCCCACCCCCACCCCCCATCCCCCCCTGCCTCTGTGGCAGGGCAATCCCCTGTGTGCTCTCTCTTCTTTTGGGTGTTGTGGTCTGCAAAAGAGGCATTGAGTGGCAAACATGTTCAGTCCATAGTCTACTTTCGACATGCATCTCAGTGCTCTGGGAGTCTTATCCAGCAGTCTGGCAGATGGTGGTGGTGGTGGCGGGGGGATGGTAACCATGTGATACATGTTATACATGGGATCTAATCAGGGCTCCAGAATGCCAAGCATGTGCCCTAGACCCTTGAATTATCTCTCTAGCCCAGATGGAAATCTTTTTTGGGGATGGTGGGACTCCCAACTAGTCCTCTGGGATTCAGAGTCTACTCCCTGTGATTTTCAGCTAAGTGGGCAGGATGGTTCTGTGCTAGGCCCCAAGGATGCTCTGATGCTTCTCAGGCGCTGTGGTGCCAGGGACAGCCAAGCCACCTCAGTGCTTCTGGAGGAACCTTGTGTTGGGGTTGGCCTCTTAATCCCTGCACTAGCTTCCTGGCCCCTTAGAAGGTAATATTGATTAACAAGTTGGCCAATCATGATGAACAGATGACAAAAAATTTTTTTGAACTTAAGGTGTTCTGCGAATGTACAGTATCAGAGCTATACTAAGTAGTTCTTATTAGAAATAATCAGATAACTAGGATGTTTACTGGAACATCCTAGTAAGAGAGAATAGAAATCCATAAAAATGTTTACCTTGGGATTAAAATTATAATAAAAGCTTTATGTTTATAGGCCCTTCGAACGTACAATCACCATGCATAAGGACAGTACTGGACATGTTGGCTTTATCTTTAAAAATGGGAAAATAACCTCCATAGTGAAAGATAGTTCTGCAGCCAGAAATGGTCTTCTGACAGAACATAACATCTGTGAAGTCAATGGACAAAATGTCATTGGGCTGAAGGTAAGGAACACACTTGTCCCCTCTTTTGATGCAGTTTCATTTTAGCCCAAGAATTTTCTTTTTTTTTTTTAATTTTAGTGAAACACCATGAGGTATAGTTGTAGACTTACAAGTTTTTGTGCTCGGGTTTCAGTTATATAATGATCGAGTACCCATCCCTCCACCAGTGCCCATTCTCCACTACCAATGATCCCAGTATCCTTCCCACTCCCCCATCCCCCCATCCCACCAAAAATATTTTTTTGTTGGAAGTATATTTCATTCCTAATTATATTTATATTTTATATTATATATTTGTATATTTTATATAAATACATTCATATTTATATATTTGTGTTATAATATATTTATATATTTATTCATATTTCATTCCCACCCCACCCCACCCCACCTCAGTGGCAGGGCATTCCCTTTTGTTCTCTCTCTCCTTTTGGGTTAGCCAAATCATTTTCATTTGTCTGTGTAGGTGGTGATGTTTTTACATTGACCTGAAGATTATAGAAACTTGGTGGAAAAATGGGCACACATAGGGCATGCTCTCTGCTCTCTCCCATTCACAGGAAGTACCTGGGCTATTACCTGGAGCTACTGTTGCTTTTATAGGGGCAGTACTAGGTGATCTTTGGTCCTTTGAGCTGAGAAATCCTTGGAGATAAACACTTAGGATTTTCAGAATATATCCTGTGTTGAATGATTATCCAACTTTTTTTAACCCAAGAATGGTTGGAAATAAGTATTAGTTTATGTTCATATTAGCAATTTTTACAGCTTTTTCTTTTATACATTCTAACTATGGCTATTTTAATATCTGGTTGTTTTCACGAAGATATACTCATGAATTTGGTTGAGAATACAGTTAACTAAGGATAGACAACTGTTATCTAAGTAGTACTCTGGAACTTTGTTTAATCTTAAGTAATGAAAATATGACTTGTGGGTAATATATTCAATTCAGTTTACTTATTTGTCCTGTTGTTTTGGCTAGAAAAAAGATGAACACCGAAGTTTGGCTTTCTTTTTACAAAAATGGCATTCTGGCCCAAGAAAACTCCCAGTTCCAGGTCTGGGGATTATTGCCTTTTAAGAAATTCTTATTTTTTAGGATTAAGCTCGGTAAGGAAAACGAGGCTGAGTCTTAAGGATCAGAATTTTAGAGGTGCAAGCAAAACATGAGAGGACATAAATTGTAATTTTTAACTAAGAAATACGTAGTTTTATATATTAAAGCCTTAGGGAATTTCCATTATGTCTGTTTTCAACAGGACTCTCAGATTGCAGACATACTGTCAACAGCTGGGACTGTAGTCACCATCACAATCATGCCTGCTTTTATCTTTGAACATATCATTAAACGGTAAGTTGACAACTCTTCACCTGGATGCTTGGGCTTATGTCATTTGCTACATTCTTTTAATTACCACATCTTTCATTCTTTGTAATATATGATGACGGCGTTTTCTCCAGAAATCTGGAGTAAGTATTTAAGGCAGAGGTATTGTTTGGTTAGGACAACCACCACAACACCCTCATACCTCTCAAGTATGCAATAAATTCTTACCATATGCTCCCTCCATTTTGAAATGTCCTTTAGAGGAATCATAGCTAAAGATGGGGCAGGCTTTCATTTTGGCTTTCAGTTTTTCAGTAAAATCAGCAGTAGTTGTACTCTTGCTTATTAAACCTTCTCGACCCGGGCTATTGTGGCTCATGATTGACAATGCTTCTCAGTGAGATATTACAAGTAATGTTCTTGGGCCGGAGTGATAGTACAGCAGGTTGGGCATTTGCCTTGCACATAACAGACCCGGATTCGATTCCTCCCATCCCATATGGACCCTGGACTAATTCCTGAGTGTAGAGCCCAGAGCAACCTCTGGGCATCACCGGGTGTTACCCAAAAAGCCCCCCCCCCCCAAAAAAAAACCCCCAAATAATAATAATAATAATAATAATAATAATAATAATTTAACTTTCTATTCTGTCCAGTACTTCAGGAGGCAGAGATTAGGGAGCAGGGGTAGGGGTGTGGGGAGAAGATAGAGAAATGTTGCAACTGCCATCTCTTCTCAAAACTTGAGGAGCAACAAGGATTATTTTTCATGGAGCTTTGAAGATTCTGGCTTTGACAAAGAACTATAGGTCCTATGGTTGCCAGTACCCTTGGTGAGAGGGTTGGGGGCCTCTCCCGATTCTTCGCCACAGCCTCCCCCGGAAACTTCCCTCACCATCATGCCACTGTCGCCTCCTCCCCCTGCTTCCCTCTCCGGTAGCTGCCTGTGAAAATCCTGGCTTCTGTCATAACTGTCTTTTGCCAGGTTAACTTGAAACTTCTTCCAGATTCCCTCTCCTACGTGGAAATAAGATTTAAAGATTCAAAAAATTTAAAGACAGACACCTGTAATGAAACTTTTGTTTCAACTTCTGGGTAGAAGAATACAGCTGGCTATGGGCATCAGGGATAAGGAGTTATTTTGAGTTTTACCTTTCCTGACGGCAGTTATGCACCTTCTATATCCAACATTACCATTTTCGTTTTCTTCCGTCTTTAAAAGCAACAGCAACAACAAACTCTAGGCATTCATGTACACGGGCTTATATCTAACTTTTCTAGCCAAAATAGTTTTTTGCTCTAGGTACTTAAAAATAAGTTACATTACCCTAGACTCTTAGATTTCTAAGTTTATTTGAAAGACCTCTCCTCTTTCCCAACACTCTCTCTCTGTCTCCCCCCCCGCCCCCCACCCCCCCCACACACACTTGATGCTAATAGGTGCTAAACTGGCTGGTTGTTTTTTTCTGGTGTTGAACAGACACAGGCTTCACACATGCAAGTCAAGCCCTCTGTCTGAGTTAGATCCTTGGCCCTGGAATCAGGTGTTTCCTTCCATCAGAAATAGCATTTTTGTAAAAAGAAACTCAAGCTTTAGTGCTTATCTTGTTTTTGGAGGGGGGAGTGGAGGGTTAGGCCTCATCTGTCAGTGATCAGGATTTACTCCTAGCTCTGTGCTCATGGGATACTCCTGGTGGGGGGAATTAAACCAGGATCAGCTACATGAAAGTTCAGTATCATACTCTCTCTCCATCTCAAGCTTTAATATTCATCTATTAGTTTTGGGGCCACATCCAGAAGTGCTCCAGGTTTCCTTCTGGCTCTGAGTTCAGAGATCACTCCTGGAAGGGCTTAGGGGACCATACCTGGTACCAGGGATCCAGCCTGGCTTGCGCATGTGTAATGCAAGCATCGTACCTGCTGTACTTTGTCTGGCCCGAGCTCTAATATTTAAAAGTGACTCTTTTGTAGGATGGCCCCAAGCATTATGAAAAGCCTGATGGATCACGCCATTCCGGAGGTTTAAGTCATGGCACAATGGAAATTTGCTGAACTATTCCAGTTTACTTCTTCGGCAACTTCTTTATTATGCACATGGAGCTTTCTAGGAGCCAGAGAGCATATGCTGCATGAAGACCCTCTCTCTTATGGCTGGGAATCTCACCGTTTGATCTCATATCTTGTTCAGACTTCAAGATAGTTGTAGCCTTATCCTGGTTTTACAGATGTGAAACTTTGCAAACGATTTACTGACTTTCACCGAATAGTTTCTCTACTGGAAACCTGATGTTTTACAAGCCATTTTGATTAGGATGACTGATACAGGCATTGCTTTGTTGTCGAACCAGTCACCTTTATCCTAGACATCAAGTAGTGCTGTTCTCAACTTTAATTCTATGGCATATTTGCATTTTTAGTGTGTTACCATAATACATTTAGAATGATTGCTTTTGATAGATTTTTTTAGTTCTGTGTGCGTGCATAGTATGTGTGCATTAAAGCCAATTAAGTAGTATTTGTTTCATTCCATGGAAGCATTAAGCAGTGTATGTAGGTTGCAAGAGATTATGTTAATTACCATTAAATTTTAACTACCTTCACTTAATATGCTTAAACTGTCGCCTTAACTATGTTAAGCATCTAGAATAAAAGCCAAAATAGAATTAACGCTGCCTTTTTAAAACCCAAAATGCAGTTCTGTATTAAACTGAAATGTACTCTAGGCCAGAACAATGTAATACCAAGTTCATAGAGTATACCTGCTTAGTTGCATTTGAGATTTTCTAGTTAATGTGTAGTGGAAACTTCTTTCTTCTAAGTTACTAGAATCTTTTTCTGAGAAATAAATCGCTATATATTTAATGTAAAAATTCTTATACTATATAGGGTAAATTTTTGATGGCTTTTTTTCATTTGTAGATTAAGTGGGCTAATACCCGGTCTTGGCATTTTACTCGCAATAGTTTGTAACCTAGCTATTTGTGTCTTAAAATGTTTCTTCTGGTAATATTTTCCATTTTATGACTTCTCCCTGTAAACAAAACAGTAGTGTCACTTTAATCTGATTCTTTCCTTTTCTTTTTGATTTCTGCCTGTCCTATATTAAATATGTTAAATAAAGTTAAATTTTAGTTTGTTGTTATTGCATCCTTTGGGGAAAAAATTTGGTTGTTTTCACCAAATCTGTGCATGACCTAGCAAACAGGCATGTGAAATTTACTTCCCAGAGCAGCACTCAGTAGCCCAGAGAAAAACTTGCTTGTGTTTAGAGTTGTAGATGTGGGGGAGAGGCTAAGAACCTCAGACCCACTGGCCTGCACACTTCCGCTGAGAGTCAGGGAATCAATGCTGCTATTGATTCTTCAAGACAGCAAGTAACGTCTAGTGACATTCAACTAACTTTGAAAATTACATGACCCTGCTCTGATTCAGACTCCTTATGCCCCATTGCCTACAAGATATAAAGATGTTTTTAAAGATTATAGGAAATTTTAAAACCATGTAATTTCTGTGGTTCAAAGATCGGATATGAAGGAAAAGCAGTGGTACTGCGTTATAGCCGGTTTTGTCTGAGGCTGTTTAGAAATCCAAACCACGTTCTCTGCCTTGCCGGTCTGTCTGGGTCTGCTCTGCATACAGTGATGTGCATGTTTTAATACTTTTGGAACCAAATATGATTTTTTAATGTAGAAGAATCAATATGAGGTATGTCTTTGTAATATTTAAATAAGGAAGAAAAACTTTTATTACAGAAAAATATTTTAATGTTGTAGAAAAGATGAGCATTTTAATAGCTATAATGAAATACACCGTTCCCATACAGTAAACTTAACTGATATAAGAACTGCTAATTCTTCCCCAGGTTCTCAGAATCCAGGGCCAATAAGGTTATAGAAAGTCACCACTCCAGGAAAACACACAAATCTCCAAAACCAGTGAGCAGCACTGCGTCGTCACTTTGGAAGACAAACTAGAGCAACTCAGAAGTAGAGAATACTGCACGTTTTAGGCGGGGGGTTCTGAACTGTTCAGTGCTTTCTGGAGCTTTCCCCGACCCAGTTTATCATCATCTAGCTAGTCTCTGTCATTCAAAGCTGTCTTCTGACCATCACCAGACTCAGCTGATCTTACCAATGTTATGTTTTCTCCCTAGTGCTGCCATATCTTTATCTGCCTGAGAGGACGGCAACTAATGGCTCTCAATGAAGTCATGATTTAAACAGTTTAAACCCACATATTTCTCATGTGGTAAACTTCTAATTACTATCATTGCACATTCACAAGTTCATTTAAAAGTTTGGCTTAAAAATACATTAAGAACAATTCAATTTGATAGTCAAGAGAGGAAAAGGCACTTAATACTGCTGTTTCCAGAACATAATTTGTCTGTCTTCCCCTCCTGTGATGATACTGCTACACTGTTCGTTCATCCATATACATGTCACTGCCCCTAAAAGAAGGAGATACTGTAATTAGATGACAAGCTAGCCAGGAGATATTCACTTTGTTTTTGAAGATCCTAGAAAAGCGAAAAGTCATAAATCCTCCAGATGATCAAAAGAAAAAGTTTGCAAACATAGTCAATAAGCAATATAATAAACTTAATAAAAAATATTTGTTAAGTGTGTCAGAGGCAGAATTATATATACACAGCGACCCTCTCCTTAACACATCAGGACACTTTCCATCCTGGAAAAAGTTCTCCAGAGAGAACTGGGAGGTAGAAGTTGGCAGTCAGAGAACTTAAAACAGCTTACACCAAATTCATCACTTTTCTAGTTTTTAAAGAAACTTTTATCTTGGGTGTGGGGTGGGGAAGAATATAGCTATGCCGTTCAATTGACATTTAGAGGCTAAGGTGGAAATTTCCTTTTGGGATTCAAATTGTATCTGAGCATCAATCTAAATCGTGAGGGACCAAAGCAGGAGATGCTGAACACTGGTGGGATGCTGGTGGAAACGGCTGCCCCACAGAGAACAAGGGATGTTTTCTGCTTGAGAGGTACTCTGTGATGGGAGGGGCAGGGATGACATTATTAATATTATTACAGGAATAAGGCCAAGGACATAAATGCTTACCTGTGTGGCCCTGTATTCGCTCACTGATTTTCCCTCCAAGAAGGTCCCAAACAAGCAGCTGACCCGACTGACTTCCAGACAGAACTGAATTCCCATCCCAGATAAAGCATCTACAAGAATGTTTTAGAAATGTTTCATCATTCATCATGCAGGAAGGTCTTTTTTTTTTACACTGGCCAAAGCAAGCCCAGCCACTGACACGATCTTGAGCTTGTTTGTAAATTTCTTCACCCTAGTAGTAAAGTCAAGAAGATATACCTCTGGGGCTCGTCTGATGTCATAGAGGAGATGAGCATTCCGGTCTGTACGTCGATGACATTCAGACAGCCATCTTCTCCTATGCTGAGGACGTGGCGACTGTCTGTAACACAAGGCCAAGCACAGATAAGGGTTACACTTTCAGAAAAACAATTCAGAGATTATATTACTGAATCTAATGGACTACGCGGCACTGATTTTTGGGTCTTCTTTTTTTTAGCTACTTATACTCAACCAATGATGGGCCACTCTTGGAAATACCTTTAAGGTACTGGAATTTGATAACCCTTTGGTCATGAGTTTGTTTATATTTTAAAATACATTTATCGGGGCTGGAGCGATAGCACAGCGGGTAGGGCATTTGCCTTGAACGTGGCCAACCCGGGTTCGATTCCCAGCATCCCATGTGGTCTCCTGAGCACTGCCAGGAGGAATTCCTGAGTGCAGAGCCAGGAGTAACCCCTGAGCATTGCCAGGTGTGACCCAAAAAGCTAAAAAAATAAAATATATTTATCTAGTGAAGGGGCAGATTAAGACCATCATTCAAATACAGCTTTTCTGCTTAGGTATGAGCTGCCTTAAGTACAGGTATGAAGTGCAGCTTTAGCTATATATGAAATCATAAAAGAACATGTTTTCTTTTTTACATTTTTACTATTTATTTTAAAATAATCATTCTAAGTCCCCCGGTATTATCGTAATGAAGAGGACAATACTACCTGGGCTGAATGCAGTATCGTAGATAGTCCCTGAATGGCATGGAATCTGGTGCAGTACAGTAGCTGTGGTGAGATCCCAGATAGTCACCGTGCCTTCTTTTGTGCCTGAAACCAACAATGTGCTTGCAGCATTTAAGCTGATTGTATCTACCTAAGAAAGAAAAGACACTGAAATGTATTTGGTTTAGAATTTTAATGATTAGTTCTATTTTCCTGGCCAATTCAAATCGAAGAACTGGTGGAGGGATGGGTATTCATTCGATCATTGTATAACTGAAGCCCAAGCATGAAAGTTTGTAAGTCTACAACTACCTCATGGTGTTTCACTAATTTAAAAAAAAATAGTTTTGAAATGCACTGTATCACTGTCCTCCTGTTGTTCATCGATTTACTCCAGCGGGCCCAGTAACGTCTCCATTGGAGACTTTGTTGTTACTGTGTTTGGCATATCGAATACATCACGGGTAGCTTGCCAGGTTCTGCCATGCGGGTGAGATACTCTCGGTAGCTGGCCGGGCTCTCCGAGAGGGGTGGAAGATTCAAACTTGGGTCAGCCATGTTGGCTGCGTGCAAGGCAAACGCCCTACTGCTGTGCTTGCTGTGCTATCGCTCCAGCCCAATTTTGAAATTAAAAAAAATAAAATTGTGCTGCTGTAACTAAGAGAATGTATTTCAAAATCACTGAATGATTTTTAAATTAAAAAAATCATACTTTAATGAATGAAATTTCACTCAGGTAAATATAGTACTCTTTTTAAAATAGCCTAAAACTGACCATCTCAGATAACTCCATGGATAGCAAATTGTAGCAAGGTGCCGAGCTGCCTGAAACATAGCTTGATCCATGGTTATTTAAGGGATTTGGGGAATGAAAGGGATCATCTATCCAGGTTATGCTTGTACAGCTATAAGAAATTATACAATGAAACAAAGACTTTTTCTCTATCCAAGCTGTAAACCCTTCAAATTTGACAGCAATTCATACATTTAGAGAGAAAAAAGCAGTATTACAGCATAAGACAGAAGTGTGATCCAACCAGTAGTAACACAGGAAGTGTCAGCCTTGGTTCTGCCCAGGTGGTATGCTCTGGGGCCAGCTCTTTAAAAGAGAAAAAAATTAGGGACCAACCCGTACGGTGCTGGATAGTACTCCCAAGACACTGCGACCTGCCTGGTGGTGATAGGGTGAGGGACAAGTGAATGCAAAGGTTGGGCCTGAACTCCGGGCTTTGCACATATATGCAAAGCATGTGTTTTACCATTTGGGTCATATCCCTAGTTCCAAGTCATAGGTCATTGTCCCAGGTGTTTGAAGGGTGTTTGTCTGTATAGTTTTTGTGTGTCATGGAAGATGATGGGTCCCATTTTTTCCCCCAAAGTAGTTGGGGGTGGGGTGGTATCCACATATTCACTCTTGTATACAGATAACAGCTATTTCAGAGATCTAACTGGTGGCAACTGATTATCAGGGAAATAGTACATGGAGTGAGGTGGGTATTGGGGGTGAAGTAGATGGGAATTCCAAAGAGTAGTCTTTGATCTCCAATAAAGAAAATTTACAAAACAAAATATCATGAACACTCAAATGAAACCAAAATCTCTGCCCCACCCCCCTCCTGTTGAAGCTGAGTGTGCAGTCTTGTGGCCAGTACTTACACTGACATCATGTTCCAGCTCGGCCACCAAGTCAAACTGGTGTTTTTTAGCACCAGACATTTCTGCAGGAACACCAGACCACACCTAGGAGTGAAAATATTGCAGAAAGCATCTGTAGACATCTACCAAAGCATCTCTGACACATTCAAGGAAGAAGCTTTGACTAGCTTCCATTTCACACACTTGTCAACAAGATGCTGCTATTTCTGGCTTCTCCCCTGCCGGGCCCGACACCATGTGTTTAACAGAGTCAACCAGGTGTGTTTGTATCTGTTTCTATTACTTGTGTTACAGTTGGAATTGTGCGATGTAAATTTTGTGTGAACTAAGTGAAAATGAGTACAAAAGTATAGTATATTAATGTTTTAAGACTCGAAAGTCCAGTGACCAAAAAAACAAAATACTGAAAAGTAATTTTT